ACTTTCGATACCATCGATCATGGTATCCTTTTGGGTCAATTTGGGGAGTTGGGAGTGGGCGGCATAGTTTTGCACTGGTTCTCTTCCTTCCTCCAAGGCCAATCCCAATTGGTGTTGATTGGGGGCGAGAGGTCCAGCTCGCAGCCCCTCCTTTGTGGGGTGCCCCAGGGTTCCGTACTCTCTCCACTCCTTTTTAACATCTACATAAAACCACTGGGTGAGATCATCCATCATCATGGGATGAGGTATCATCAATATGCTAATAATACCCAGTTATACATCTCCATCCCAGGCGAGGTGAGTGAAGCCGTGACCACCCTTTTGCGGTGCCTGGAGGCTGTGGGGGTCTGGATGGGGTGCAACAGGCTTCAGCTGAACCCTGGTAAGAGGCCATTCTGTATCCAAGGATTTACCGTCTTTGGTTTTGGATGGGGTTGCACTGCCCTGGACGGACCTGGTGCGTAATCTGGGGGTCCTCCTGGACTTATGATTCCTGCTCGAGGAGCAAGTGGCAGTCGTGGCCAGGAGAGCCTTTGTCCACCTTCATGTGGTACGCCAGTTACGCCCCTTCCTGGATCAGGAGGCTCTCTGGTCAGTTGCTCATGCTCTGGTCATCTCTAGGCTAGACTATTGCAATGTGCTCTACATGGGGCTACCTTTGAAGAGTATCTGGAAGCTACAACTGGTCCAAAATGCAGCCGTGCGGATAATTTTGAGTGCCCCAAGAACGGTGCATATAACACCTTTACTATGCGAGCTGCACAGGGTCCCAGTCTGCTTCTGAGTCCAATTGAAAGTGTTGGTTATCACCCTTAAAGCCCTACATGGCATGGGTCCAGGTTACCTGAGGGACCGTCTTCCCCCGTCACATCAACCCGTCCCACCCGGTCAGGCAGAGAGGGCATGTTGCGGGTCCCGTCAGCAAGAGAATGTCAGCTGGTGGGGACCAGGAGGAGAGCCTTCTCTGCCATTGCTCCCACCCTTTGGAACATTTTCCCCCCAGAGGTACAGCAGGCCCCTACCCTACCAGCCTTCCA